CATCGTGCATTGCAGGGTGTGCCTTCGATTTATAGCAGCAAACCCAGGCAAGGTGAAGCTCGTGGGCCTCAGCTTCAACTTTGTCGCGCTTCCCCCCATGTACTCGCATAATACTCGCGTCCCCCACGTGATGTCAATGATCTTAGCCACTGACCACGCAGGGCTGAAGGTGCGGGGCCTTGCGACAGACTTTCTAAGCTGGGTCAGCACGTCTTGATGGCAAACGCTCAGGTTCTGATTCGGCATATGGAACATGGCCTGAACATTGACATGTTCTCTGGCCCTGCAATTGATGATTTGAATGCCACAGTGGACTGGCCAACCAGACAAATACAGTGCCGAGTCGCCAACCCTTCTCGAGGAGACTTTGTCAAGATGTCGCCGCATGGCTTCATCAATAACCTGGAGGTGGCTCTGTCGCAGAGCATGTTTGACAGCGGCTACTCCATCGCTGCTGTCAGCCGAGCGGATTTTGGCACGGAGATCTCCAGCCGTTACGGACCCGAAAAAAGCCACGGAGATCTCCTGCTACCAGGCACAGGGCGGTTTTAGTCTCAGACTCGCTCACACCCTTCCAATGAAGCATGATTTAATCCGGATTTGGATTGCTGAAACTCCCAAAGCGCATGACTTGGTAGCACAGCTTGAAAGTGGAAACTTGAATTTTGGAAGCCCGCCCAGGTGCGTACCTGAATAATTCTACGATTGGACCATTCGATGCCATCTTTGTCAAAACCTCACGGCTTGGACTGGCGACCCCGCAGGCCACTTGAGAACGCTCATCTGTCGCTTAGAAGACGGCAACCGATGTCCAAAGCACCCATGCGCGGATACTTCCTGGTTCAGCTGTTTTTTGCTGTTCCTGGTGCCTTTTGTTTTGTGCGTGTGTTCCCTTAGTTATTTGCTGCAGGTGCAGAATTTGCTGGCCGCAGATCCTTAGCCTCATTTGTGTTTCGCACTGTTTTGAGGGCTGCTTTCTCAACACTGTCCGAGCTTTCTTTCTGGACAGCTGCAAGCAGTCTTTTGACCTTCAAGAACACGATCCCTCGAATGGCACTCAAGCTGAGGCTTCGTAGCCACATCCCGCCTCGAAAAATGTGAGTTCGATCTTGACTGCGGCCCAGGCAGAGTAGATTTCACAGCGGCCATATGGCCGGGTTTCCACAGCTAATTATTCAAGACGCAAGCAGCCATATGATGCCAACCTGCGTTTTCTTCATGATCTATCGCTGCAATGTTCCAAAGAGTCAGAGTCTCAGAGGCTGAAATCTGCCTCAGAGAGGTCAAATTTCTGGCCCTCGACATGAACGGAGTGCAGGCCTGTAGGTGCCTCTCCATCCTCACATTTGTGGACAGCTCACAGGCAGGGTGTAGTATGGAGGAGAGAAACCGCATCTTGTCAGATTTGTCGGTGAAATATTGTCTCCCTGAAGTGCCGGTCCGAGTGTCCTGAGCGACCATTCGGGGCATTTGAGGGCCATCACAGCCAGCCTTGCAAAATTGGCAGCTGCAGAAGCATTGAGCACGAGAGTCCGGAGGCTGTGCCATCACTGTTTTGGAGTTCCTTGACCATAAGTTAAAAGCCACAGTTGTAGCTTGGCTGGCTCGTGGGTGACCCCTGATACATTTGGGAGGCCTTAATTGTGCTGGTCCCAAGGGGCTGCCAGACCCACCCCTTACCCACTCAAATCC